GGCGGCTGCTAGATTTCACAGTTTTATCTATTGGAGACTATCAAGGTAGTTGTTTGGCGTCCGCAGACCTTGACTCTCTTTCCTTTCAGTTGATTGTACTGTTCTATATTTTTCAAACAGTCTTTGATCAGCCAGACTATGTTAATTTAGATGCTCATGTACTCAGTGACACCGGGGGTTTGAGAGTATTTTATATCAGTATTTGCGAGATTTTCATGTTGAATTTAAATATTATATTTTCAAACTTAAAAGATTACAATGTTTTATTGAGGTTATCGGTTTGGCTAGTATTAAGATAAGCACTATTATAACATGTGAATTTTGGGCCGTGACACAATGAGTCCCTGACGATCTAGGCGGACGAGGTGTCAATTCATGAGTATAACGAGTATATATGTTAGGGGCACTTGGCTTCCTTAGCTAGTTAGCTAGGTGGAGACTTATCTCTTTCTTTTTATTTTATTTTTCTTGCATTATATGTATTATAACGTGTATCATATGTTTATCCCATTTTTGAAAGAGTAGTAGCTAATCCTATCTTAAATTAACAACGAAATGACCACTTTAAGTTAGGTTGAATTTGTAATACAAATAGGTCCACGGTTCATTTATTAGTACTCTTCCATTGTTAGTATATTAAGGAGAGTCCTATTTTTAGAAAATGATCTTTTATATTCACTTACAGTAACATTTGCTGCGAACTATAAAAATCAAATCTCCTTTTTATATATTTCCATCAAATGATCAAGCTAGCGTTTGACCATAGATTTCCAAATTTGTTTTGAAAAATTTATTTTGGATGAAGTTTGGCTTGAAGATGAAAATATGTTTGGACATACGTTTTCATAACATATTTCCCAAATTTATTTTGGAAAAATATGTGTATTATTAGGGATTTGGCCCAAAACCAGCGATTGAGCTGATTTTGGGATTTGGAATTTGAGATTTTGCCAAAATATAGGCAAAATCTATGGCCAAACATGTGTTTGCCAAATAAAATCCAAGTTTATTTTGGTAAAATTTATGGCCAAACGGGTCCCAAGTCTCCTTGATTCTTGCTATGTCCAAACTCATTTTTCCCTATATAGGCTTAGTGGGCGTTTAGACATAAGAATTGTAAAATTTCGGAAAAAAGTAAAAAAAAAAAAATCAAGTAAAAATTATATTTAAAAACTAGAGTTGTGTTTGGACATGAATATAATTTTGGATTATTTTTGAAGTTTTGTGAGTGATTTGAATGAAAATTTTGAAAAATAACTTTTTAGAGTTTTTAAAATTTTCGAAAAATTCTAAAATATATCTTTAAATAAAAATTTAAAAAATTATGATCAATTTCAGGAAAAAAGCGATTTTTATGTACAAACGGGCTCTTAATCCCGCAAGACACCTCGTTTCGAAGTTTTCAGTAGTTCTTTGACTCTCAATCTCGATAAGTGTAAAGTAAACAGGTTTGAAACTCATTCCATAATCTTCATTTGACTATAACAAAATATTGATATTTCGAACCTCTCAACTACACGTGATTTAGAGAGTTGTACATCTTGGTTAAATAGTTAAGCCAACCACAACGTCATGATTTATGATAGGGGATCTTTACACAAATAGCCAACAATAATTATTATTTATTTTTTTTAGTCAGTATACATAGATTATAGCATATGTATTATATACATTATACGTATATTATATATTTGCCAGCTATTTTTAATTTGAGCGGTTGAATGGATCGCTATTTAGGTCCATTCTTCTTTTGTGCTATTTGGGTCATGATAGCCCATCTCTCTCTTAACACAAATAGCCGGCTAGATTTACTGTTTACTTTTTTTTAGCTAGTATATATAAATTATACAATGATTACATACATTTATATAGATGTGATGCATGATTATAAATAGTAAATTATATATTCGCCTGCTATTTTTAGTTTAAGCGATTAGGTGAGCGACTATTTAGTTAAAGTTTTGAAACTTTTTATTGAATAATTAATCTAAATAGTCGTTCACTCAATCACTTAAACTAAAAATAATCGATGAAACTCTAATATATACATAACTTATGTATTATATGTATATAATTATATATAATAAATGTATAATTTATATATATAATTAGAAAAAATAAACAATAAATATGACCGACTAATATTTTTTTTTATTCTTGAAATCAAAAGACATAGAAGAGGTGAAATCTCGTGTCTCTTCTCCATCGCAATCATACAACCTTAGTCATCATCAAATTAATCACTCTTTGTTTTTTGTATATTCTCTCTCTTTAGTTTAGCTCCACACTTCATTCCCACATAAATCAAATCTTCATTTCTTCTTTCCCCATTTTCAGCCTTTGCCATTTGTCTCATAAACAGCTGCAAAAAAGCAGCTTTACATTAAAAAATAAAATAAAAATGGTGAGGATAATACCTATGGCCTCTTCAATTAGGCCTTCACTTTCATCCCTAAATAAATTTTCTGGGACTTCAAGATTCTGTGTTTCGCTTCTTTCTCATAATTCTCAACGAAAGTTCGGTTCTTTTCATCTGGGTAGTGGTAAATTCTCTATCTTTTTATTATTATTTTTTCGTTTCAGCCCTTAATATTAAACCCCTTTTAATTTCTGAGTTTAGGTTCTATATTTATACAATCAAGTCAAATTATTATGTAAATCTCTAGGTAAATATTAGTAATTGGTATATGTGAAAAATGGCAATTAACCTGCTATCTCAGTTAAATTCAGTATATATAAAATTCATATTTTTTTCAACGTATGGCCAATTTCTTATGTACAACAACGCAGTATAATCTCACTAGTTGTGTGTGTGGAGGATAGTGTGTACGCAGACCCTACCCCTACCCTGGATAGAGAGGCTGTTTCCGATAGACCCTCGGCTCCCTCCCTTCAAGAACTCCCCACCCACCTTGCTCTTGGGGTGACTCGAACTCACAACCTATTGGTTGAAAGTGGAGTGTCCTCACCACTAGAGCAACCCACTCTTGTCCAATTTCTTATGTACCTAATTTATATTTTTTTTCTTTAAGTGCTCATATTGAATCCTTGTTTGTTTGGTTCTATTTGTTTTTCTTCAATTTATGACCAGTTATTGTATGTATCCATTTTGTAGTATAAAATGTGCACTAGAATACCTGTATACAGTTATGATTTTATGGGTATTTTCTTTGTGCAAATGTAAATTATCTTGTAGTATGTTGTGCTTATTTTCAATTTAATGCACAAGGAAGTATCGTATAGTGGCGCAGGGTGGCCGTGGCGGAGCTAGGAATTTATACAAGGGGATTAAAAAAAGAAAAACTAGAATGTGATAGTTGGGATCTATTCTTATGTTAAGGGGATTCAACAATTTATAGATAACTAAAAAAAAATCATTTTTGTCCTATTTGCGCGGTATAATTTTCCGGCGAAAGTAGCTCAATTGAACCCCCTTTTCTGCACCTAGTTCCGCTACTGCAGGATGGAGGTTAAAGAAAATGTCGTAATGTTACTGAATGTAGAAGTTTCTTTCTTTGATAACATTGTCTCTTGAAAAAATTATATGTTCATGTGGAACATGGAAATGTGATTTTGGCATATTGCTGATGTGTCTACTCTAGTCTATCATGGAATTGTCTATGATGTGTTCCGCTACTGCAGGATGGAGGTTAAAGAAAATGTCGTAATGTTACTGAATGTAGAAGTTTCTTTCTTTGATAACATTGTCTCTTGAAAAAATTATATGTTCATGTGGAACATGGAAATGTGATTTTGGCATATTGCTGATGTGTCTACTCTAGTCTATCATGGAATTGTCTATGATGTGTTCCGCTACTGCAGGATGGAGGTTAAAGAAAATGTCGTAATGCTACTGAATGTAGAAGTTTCTTTCTTTGATAACATTGTCTCTTGAAAAACTTATATGTTCATGTGGAACATGGAAATGTGATTTTGGCATATTGCTGATGTGTCTACTCTAGTCTATGATGGAATTGTCAGTATCTGTGATATTAACAAAACCTTTCTTGAAGGGGCCAAATTTACTCTTAAGAAATTGTTATATGGATAGTTAACATTCTTTGATTGACGTAAAATAGTAGTTTATCTCTGTCTTTGGTACTGAACTTTCTTCTTCTTTACGATTAGTTTCATTGGTCTAGGAGCAAATATTTTATTATTTTCATAGAAAATTAGAGCGCTAATGTCATTTTTATGCAGTCTACTTAGAAAATATAAATACTTGTAGTCAAATCGTTTATGCCAGTCGTATGCTTTAAAATGTATAGCTAAAAAATGTATAGCTAACGTGGTTTACTACATTTCTATTTCCCATTGGCTTGGATCTTGTATTTAAGAGTCACATCTTTCATCTCTGGTTCATATATTAATAAAAGAGCACAATTTTCTGGGGTTAGAGTCTCAGTGAAGGGGATTACTCTCTTTGTTGTTGTTTTCATTTAAAAGTTTGCTGGTTCTACTTTTCAGACAGCATAATTTTCAACTGAATCATCGCTTCTATCATCAAACGACATACCTCAATTCGCTGAACTGTGGCAGTTCTGTAGTTAGAATAAGTGATCGCTCCTCTATGCACTAATAAATCCACTACCCCGCATTTAACCATACGAGCACCACCCTTAGATGATGTCTAACATGGAAACATGTGCTGCAGTAAACTTAAAAAGGTTAGTGCTGGAGTATTTCTGTTTTAAGACGTCTTATTTTACTCTTTCTCTACAATTGTTTCTTGCACCGAGAGTAGTGTGAGCTTTTGTCTTCATGGGGATAAGAAGGATATAACTTACAATAATTTGAAACAGTGACAATAAGATAGCTTGACGTCAATTTTTTTATGATGATTTGCTCACCAGCACACCAGTGAATGCCATCGATTTGTATGCTGTAGGTGGAAATTGTTGCTTAAATCTGTTGACCTTCAGACTCTACTGTATCCCTGCATTTTAGGGTGTCTCCGTTAGTAAGAGATTTGCTTACCTAATAATATTGATGTTTCTGCAGCAATTCCACAGTTGCAATCTTTTGGCCTTAAAGCTTCTAAGCTGTTAAGAGAAAAGGGAGGCGGTTTGTCGGTCAGTGCTGCGGGAAATATGGCACATGCAAGCACTGCTACGACCCAAGAAAATGTCCTAGAGTGGGTCAAGCAGGACAAGAGAAGAATGCTTCATGTAGTTTACCGTGTTGGGGACCTTGAAAAGACGATAAAGTACAAATATCTTCTCCGTATTTTGCTAATCTAATTCTGTTCAAAAGTCACGATCTTATTCTCTTTAACTGCCTCTTCTAACCGTCCGTAATTGTGTTCAGATTCTATACAGAGTGCTTAGGGATGAAATTATTGAGAAAGCGTGACATCCCTGAGGAAAGATACACAAATGCATTTCTAGGATATGGACCAGAGGACTCTCATTTTGTTATTGAACTCACATACAGTAAGTTTCTGGAAACAACTCACATATTTACGGCTACAGGTAAGTATCTCTTTTACAAGCTCTATACTGTCAGAATCTAATGTTCTCATTTTATGACACTATCAGATTATGGAGTTGACAAGTATGATATCGGATCTGGGTTTGGCCATTTCGGAATTGCTGTAGAGGATGTAAGTTCCTCTATAAACAGAGAGTGAAAAGAATATCACATAGAATGTATAATCTTGCATATCTCGAAAGGCCCTTTCTTTGCTTAACTGTTACTGCATTTTGTCTTTGGTCGCTAAAGTAGGGTGTATTATTTGCATAACCCTGTTGTTCAGGTTTCATCTTTTACATCTTCAACGATTGCATCTTTGTATGACTTGAGTACTTGCCTGGTTGTGGGGTGTGCATTAGGTTTCAAAGACTGTGGAACTCGTAAAGGCTAAGGGAGGGAAAGTAAGCAGGGAACCAGGTCCTGTTAAAGGAGGGAAGACAGTTATTGCATTTATTGAAGATCCTGATGGTTACAAGTTTGAACTTTTAGAGAGGGGTCCAACACCCGAGCCCCTATGCCAAGTAATGCTTCGAGTCGGAGATCTTGACCGCGCCATAAATTTTTATGAGAAGGTAAGATTACTACGACTTCATAAATATTGTTGTTATTGTACTTTCTGCTAGTCTTGTGCTCTTATTAGCTGAACTGCAAGGTTCAGTTTTGTTAGCCGGAAATCCTTACTTTCCATAATTTGATCTTCAGGCTTATGGTATGAAGCTTCTCCGCACACGTGACAACCCGGAATACAAGGTAAGTTGACAGATTTTCTTAAACAGTCAGCATAACAAATGAAATCATCATGGATGTTTGACCTAGTGTATGCAGCTTAAATACCTCTTGCCTGGAATATTGGTAAGAAGATAAGTTAGCGGAATGCATCATGCATATGTAATTATATTGCACGGTGGAGATAGGTTGACTCTGATGCATTTCCATACTTTTTGGTGTTTTCCCAAGCAAGCTTTCTCTCAAGAAACAATTCAAGCAAGGAGGAATATCTTTGCCCTGTTGTTCTATGAAATGGCAGTTACAGATGTGGCTGGACAGAATGAAAATGACTAACCCCCC